TTTTCAGACAGGTTCTATTTAAGTGATTTCTTGATTCAACAGGTCTGGCAGTAATCAGGCCTGGATGTGGCTAGTGAAATTTAACTCTGCTTTCTAAAATAATGTGGTTAATTGCAGTTAAATAATGTGGTTAATTGCCTGATTTAACAGGAGGGGGCAATTCATTTTTCATGTAGGGCCACCTAGGTTTGGACAGCTTTTTTCCCTTAATAAATGAAATCATCATTTAAAAACTGCATTTTGTATTTACTTGCATTATCTTTGTGTAATATTTAAATTTGTTTGATTATCTGAAACATTAAAGTGTGACAAACATGCAAAAAAATAAGAAATCAGGAAGGGGGCCAACACTTTTACGCACCACTGTATATGTATAAGCCTGGGGGATATGAAACCAGTAAATTCAACAAGAAATTATTTAAAGGGGTCATATGATGTGATTTCAAGTTTTCCTTTCTCTTTGGAGTGTTACAAGCTGATTGTGCACAGATAAGATCCCTGAAGTTGCAAAGACTAAAGTCTCAAAACCAAAGAGATATTCTTTATCAAAGTTAAGACTCTGACACGCCCCCCTAAAACGTCTCGTTCTAACACGCCCCCACATATCTACCTCACTGTGGAAATATTAGCATAATGCTGCCCAAATGTGCATGCAAAGAAAGAAGGCGTGGTTTCAGTAACCGCAGTTAGTGTTGTTGAAGCATCCATGTCAGGGAGACGTTGTGTTTTAAGGCAGTTTTGCTTGTGGATGAAAAATGTTGCACATAAAATAAATTAACACATTCAAGAGATTACGATTTTGGGTTTATCTGGGTAATAAAAAATAACATCTTTAAGGATAAAACTTTGGGTCACATTAGTAGGGTTAAAATATAAGAACTTAAATCAACCCAAAATGTATTGGTTATACTACAATCACAAAATAAATGGGCAGCCTTTTCATCAACAGCACCACAAAATGAGCAAGTTTCATCAATATCAAGATATTTATATCTCAAGGATGACTTGAACCTGTCGCTCATTTCTTTTAAAGGGGTCATATGATGCTTTTTTTAAAAGATCATTATTT